TATACATAAACATCAAAGACGTGGCGGGCGAGAATTTGAGGGGGCCCTTGGGCTGACTTGGCACGGTAAGGGAGCCGTAAGGAGATCACGGCCCTCCTGGCGGACCCCGCCGTGACAGTCAGTAATATCTTTGGGTCTGTATTCTGAGTTGTAATCTTGTTCCTGTAGATATGTAAGGCAGGCTTGGATGCCATCCTGGTGTGGGTTTGCTTCAGGCATCCTGACAGACAAGGCCTTCTTTTATCATTATAAATTTTATGTGATTAGGAAACATGATTGAATGTATGCAACAAAATATTTACATCAGTGTGTTTACCCTTTTTCAGAGGGTACATTTATTTACCTTTTGCCAGATGGTCTCATGTGCTTAGGAATTACTCTTAACATCATTTTAATACATAAAATTCCATGTTATGCAGTGTTCCTAGGCAAAACCTGTAATAACATGGAGTTGAAGTTGAAATAAATAATATTTTATAGGAAATAAGCTTTATAAAGCCATGCAATTCAGAGTTATGTTTAATATTAAAAAAATACAAACATGTTAAATACATAAGACAAATGAACATGGTGTCATATGCAAATCCTACAACTGTTATTGATGGTTATTAGGTTTTGGCCCCAAATTAAATTATGTTGATTATCTAACATAAATTCAGTAGTATTCATTTTTCACTTCATGGTGACTGGAAACTTCATAGTATGGTATTCTCTTATTTTAATTCTTTAAATTACCATATGGTTGGAACTTAACTCTAACTTCCGTGTAGTTGCAAGGAATAAATTTCCTCGCATTAACTGAATCTAAAAATAAGTATAAACCTCTCAAATATATTACTCTAAAGTGTTTTTATACATAAGCTATCAATGTATTAAATAGAAGCTTATAAACATGTATCTTTAATATAGCTAAATGATTTCTTTTCAGGAATAGAAAACTACATTTTAGGAATTTGCATTCTGGTGAATAAATCTGCATGTTTTTGAAAAATTCTCTAAAATCATTGTAAAAAATTTCTACACAAGTTTCTGTATAGTTATATTTTAGCAGGCAATCCTTTATAACAAAATCCTTTTCTTTGTTTAAAACACAGATTCCCATCTCTACTATAATTGAACATTCCTAAATTTGGATGTTTTAAATGGTCTGATAAGAGCTTTGAATAATTTGACTTTTTGAAGGCCTCCATATTTTTTTCTGAGAATTTGGAACAGGATTTGGATTCTACTTGTGTACCACCTGAAGTTATAATGCCATCCTTGCCTAATGAAGGAGGTATGAAAACTAGTTATAGGAATCTTGTATTTTTAATATGCCTTACTAATGATGCAGCTTCATTATGCTTATAATTTCTATTTCGCTTAAATCAGATAACTGTTACTGGCTAGCTCACATGCTTCTTGTGTACTGTGGTGTTTTCTTTATATGCGCTGCTTTCTGATATTATTATTATTATTATTATTTTTTTTTTTTAAGATAATCAAGGAACCTCTCGCCTGACTTTGAGTTCAGAACTGCCTTATCAAAGCACAATTAAAAGAAAAGTCAGAAAGAAGAGAAAGAATGGAGTCGTCACTGCAAATGTTGCTGGCACAAAATATGAAATTGGTAGGAAGCTACAGAGTTTGATTACATTAATAGCTGTTGGGAAGGTGAAATGCATGAAACAAGAATTTGGAGATAAAGCCCATTGCAGTCAATGAAAAGTATCCCTCTAACCTCCAGTAGAGTTTGGTTCAAGCCACTATTGAATTACTTCTTTAGGAATATTTTTCCATAGCAATCACTTTGGGTATAGTTTAATATTTAGTTGCTAGTCTCGACTGTTTGGGGCATAAATCTTGTTGTGTTATGTGGGTTTAGGTCATTAAAGTGTCAACAAGCAATTAAAAAAGGGAATCTTAGGGGAAAAAAGTCTCAATTACACATTATATGTGTATTTAGCTAAAATTTTAAAGTCTTGAATAAAATTTGACAATTCTTCTAATTTTCTAAAGCTAAATTCAGGGACCTTTAATGATTATAGCCAAGAGTCTTGAAGGAAATGGATGCATTTCTTTTTACACATGAGTCTATCATCGCATTTAATTTTACATTATATCTTAGTGATGTTGATAAAATAGGGTTTAACAAAATTAGATATTTTTTGGATTCAGAATAGAAAAACTTTGAATGTGACATAACTTTGGGTTTTGGCATAATACAAAGTGAAAAATTAACTGGGTGATGTGGTCACTGCTCTGAGTTGATTAATGATAAACAATTAGATCACCCCCCCCCCCCACACACACCCCCTATATCTATATCCCCTCTTTATAACATGTTATTAATTTAGCAGCTCCTAGAATGAGCTTGCTCTAGTGACATCTTCCAAAAGATAAATAAGCCAGTCTCAAGATACAAGCTTTTCCTTCCCAGTGGAATTCTCAGTTGTCACTGAAAAATATTCAGCTCTCTCTCTTCATTCTGGGCAATGCCACCTTGAGTACAATCTCTGGCCAAAGATAAGACATTTGTCCTGCCAGAGTCCTGAATTTCAGTGGCATTAGTTATCATAATAGGTCCTCTTATCCTTGAAGTGACTGCTCTTTAATGAGAATAAGTATTAAATTCAGCCGTATTTAGATGATTGTTAGTTAAGTTTGTCCATATTTAGATAACTGGGCATCTATGAAAGGCTCAGATTGCAGTTTAGCTCATATGCTTCCCTTTTTTGCCGCTTAATCTAGGATTTAAAATAAATTTAATCTGGAACCAGTGTAAATTTCGGTCCCTTAAACTGTGCTCTTCATTTTGCAAAAACACGTTTGTGTGTGTATAATCTTGAGTGAACTTCAGCAAATCTTAATAACCATTGGAATATTCAGCTGGACCTTTGGCCAGGTGGGTGAGTTTGCCAGGTAGGGAAATCTGGAGACTGGTCCCATCTCATGAGAGATGATATTGGAGCAAGTGTATCATAGAGATCTTTGAAAGCTTTACCTAAAGGCAGGGAAAGTAAAAGGAAATCACTTTTGCGAATTCATTAGAAAAATCTTTTTCCTTACAACATTACTTATTTTTGCTACAGAATTGGACATCTTTTTAATTTAATATATAAAAATAATCCATTGCTTGGCTTTAAGTATTACATCCTCAATGTAAGGACCCCTCTTTATCTCCTGATTACAGTGGCACCTATAGTCATTGCTGCTTTAAAATTAACACATGCCAAGGCAAAGCTAAAGTCTTATCCATTTAAGTGCAAATGGATTGTTATTACACCATTTTGGACCACCTAGAAGCTCTTTACAGTTCCTACACTGATTAAAATGTGCTTCCAACTACATTATAAGCTTGGATGACACTGTAATTACAGTTATGCAATAGGCAGATGGAGACCTTCCAAATTAAATATCATAAATTCAGCAGTATGTACTTTGCTGCCTTCTATGCTAACGATGCAGTGTGGCTAAGGAAGAGTCTCTATACTGGAAAATTAATGTTTTATTTTAGATTTGGTAGGTTGCTTAAAATTATTTAAATTTAATTTAAATATATAATTCCCTTGTAGTTCGCTTAGTAATAGATGAGATGGGCTTTGTGAAGACGCGAGATGAAGATGAAACAGCTAATCTTATATGGAGTGATTCTGCTGTGCAGCAGGAGAAGATTGCTGAGCTCAGAAACTATCAGGTAGGTATAGCTTAGTTAGGTGTCCTGAATCAGGTAAGAAAAACTATTCTATTCTGAAGTCTTTTGAAGCCTTTTTGGGTCAGTTGCAGACATGAGACTAGAAAGCAGAGATGACAGTCAAACTGGCTCAAAGCTTTTGGCACCAAGTCCTATCCCTATTTTATAATATTAAGTTTCTCTGTCCTTTGGACTTTGGCCTTCAGATCTTTAATACTGTAGGTTCTTCAGCCTACAGTTTATAAGTGGATATTCAAAGAGTTTGAGCAGTGTGTTAAAGATGCAAAAACATTACTTATGTTATAATCTTTGAAACGGTTAGATAATCATCAGGGATCCTGGTTTTCTCTGTTTAAAAAATTGCAAATTCCCCAATTAAAACCCCCAAATCTTCTTTTTTGTGTGATTAAAAAAAAACACCGCTCTCTCTCTCTCTCTCTCTCTCTCTCTCTCTCTCTCTCTCTCTCTCTCTCTCTCTCTGTCTCTCTATACACACACACACACAGACACACACACACACACGTATCATTGCTTTTCAGTTGAACACAATATTTTATTGATATATGTACAATTTTAAGGCAATTTGGAAGCCTACTAGTGCCTCAGTCACTATAACAAAATGAATTCTAAATACCTATAATTTTGACATTTGATTTTGGGTTTTTTATCATGGAAAATCAGAGCTCTCCCTAACCCCTTCGCTCACCAGGATGTTGGTTCAACTGCGGCTGTCTTCAACACTGTTTTGTGATGCTGAGTAGTTCGAATATACCGGTGCCCTGCCTCAACCATTGCCCCTCCCAAGCTTCAGCCCCCCCGCCCCCAAGCCCTGCTGGTGGCCCTCACTCCCAACCTGCTGCCCCCTGCCACCAGTGTGTGAGAAAGGGATTGGGTGTGTGGGGAAGGTAGGGGGAACAGGCGATGCAGTGTGGGGCATGTGCACGTTTAGATTTCAGCTCTCCCAGTGGGGCGTGGGGCTGCAGCCAAGCAGGAGCCACCTCTGTGGCTCAGTGGGCAGGATCCAGCACTGAAGGGAGTTCTGTATTGTCATCGGGAGGCACAGAAGGGGCAGTGGTGGTGGTGCAGTTGTGCTTCCACTGCTGCCTTGGCGGCCACGGCCATAGAGGCGGCTCCTTCCTGGAGCTAGTCCAGCCTGGCTGCAGCCCTGCACCTCCCTGTGGGTGCAGAAATCTTGGGGGCCACATGCCTCCCCCCCTGCTGCATGGCCTATGCCCCCTGCAATGGGAAACCCACTGTTTCTGGTGTTTTTTCCCCTCTAAAAGGGAAAATACGTGATTTTCTCCTTTTAAAAGAGAAAATCTGTGTTTTTCTCTGTTAAAGGAGGAAATTCTGCTTTTTTCCATGCTTTCCTTCAGTGAACAGAAAACCCGGATCCCTGATAATTAGTGTACTTCTTTGCAGTATTTGTGACTAAATAGTCATTTTTCTGTTCATAAGTCTCTGACGACATCCTTATTCACGTAGAACTTTCTGAATAGCAACTCACATGAGCAGACATTGTCAGAGATATCCAGGTTTTAATCTGATGGGAGAGCAGAATGCAATTTATAATATCTAGGTAGTTCTTGAAGACATCTAACATAATTTGGGATATACTCTTCTCTCTTGATTCTCTTTATATATTAGTTGAATGTATCATTGAACATTTAGTTTAATGTTTAAACTGTTTATCTGTGATATTGCACAAGTAAGAATATAAAAATTCCAACTTTTTTTTTCCAGAGAATCAACCACTTTCCAGGAATGGGAGAGATCTGTAGGAAGGATTTCTTAGCAAGAAACATGACCAAGTAATTTATTATTATTTTTGTAGTTGTAATGGAAGAAATATCTTTGGAATGCAAATTTGAGTGCAAACAAGTTTAATTTGGGGATCCCTGTCAGCTCAGCAGTGCACATAACTAAGGAAGGGGCTGCCTATGTATTACAATTAAGCTGTAAGCATATCCATACATAGATTCATAGATGTTAGGGTCGGAAGGGACCTCAATAGATCATCGAGTCCGACCCCCTGCATAGGCAGGAAAG